CCCCCCTCTCTTCCTCCTCGAATCACGAGGGTCATGGGCTGCGATCAAGAGTTTTATAATTTTCCGGGCGGCTGGGGCTGAGGCTGGGCAGGGCGCTGCGGCGCCAGCAGCGCGTCGCTCGCCGGCCGCCGCCATGTGAGAGGAGCGGGGCACCTCGCCCCCCCTTTTCTATCACTTCTATCGCGCTCATCTTCGTTACGCCCACTTTCACTTTGTTGCTCGACCCTCCCCTCTGGCCCCGCCCCGTCAGGGTCTCCCCCGCCGACTTCCGGTCTTTGTAGCAAGAGCAGAGGCAGCCTTTTCTCCCTCCCCAGCGAGACGTGCCAAATTGAAAACTTATTCCGAAGTTGAATAAAAATATAATTTTAATCAAAATTGTCTCAACTCATCGCGCCGTCGCGTTGGCACGTCAAGAGTTTGGTGTCAGGTCAGGGGCGAGGTGGGGCGAGGCGACTGGAGAGACGAGAGTCGCTTCCAAGTTTGCGCCTCGCTGCACACCCGAGAAAAGGGCACCGGCAAAGCGATCTCGCGTAGAGCGAAAAAAATAGTAGAAAAAAATGGAGAGATGTTTTATCCCACAACCATGACTCACTCAATACTCCCTACCCCTCTGCTTTGAAAAAAAGCTATCTAGCAGGCTTAAGCAAACGACCTGGTGTCTGTTTGTGTGTCTATTCCACTAGATGCCGATGAGTTTGAGACTTGTGCTTTTTAGGCTATCCTAGAGGTGACTCCTGGACACCAAAGCGCCTACAGCAAATCCTGGCAACCACTCCTATGGGGGTGAAAAGGGTGGAAAAGGAATAGAGGTAGGGGTAGGTCAGAAAATTGGAAAAAAAAATGGCAGTCCAAACGGGTTACTCGCGAAAGTAGAATCCTCCGGGCCCCAAAATTTTATCCGTTTTGCTCGGTTTTGCTCTACCTGCTACCTCTAACCTCTAACGTTTGGGCGCTGCAGCGCAGGTTTTGACAAAATTTCAGCTGAAGTGAAATCGAAAATGAACCGCACTTTCTGACTTCGTACCAGTCCCCAGATGTGCTCTATCTAGCCTACCATAATCCGTCGGTTATTTTGTCAGTCTTAGAGCAGAAGAAGGGGATGGAGTCACGGTGCCACACCTCATATTCGACAAGAGGATCTCGATCTCCTCCACTGTAAAAATATTAGTCGTCACTTCACAAGTTTTCCTCTCCTAAATCGGTTTCACAGATATGTCGTCACAGACCATTTACAAATATGCCGTCACGTGTCAAATGCATTGTCACTTGATTTATAATTCATCAAAGTATTGATAAGTCGTCACGTGATAAAGTAATAATCTTGTGACGAGTAATTTGTCACATGCTAAAAAGTAAAATAATAATTTAAAAAATGTTTCTGACCGAACAGGTCATGTTTTCGGTTTTGACATCACTCCGTTCTTACGGCCTCGATTTCGTTGTTAAGAGCGCATTGCGCACGTGATCACACCGTCACACATTAGTATAGTCGAACGACTGCTCAATCAAGTGATAACATATTTGTGAAGTGACAAGTGGTCTGTAATCAAAACATTACAAATCTTCAATCATGTGACAAAACATTAGTCCGGAGATAAATGATTTGTTTCATGCAGTGTGCCGACTGATTTGTCATTACCATTAAAACAAAGGAGTCATCACACATGTGACAACTCATTTGTTCTATAGGCCGAAATGAATGTTTTGTCACGATATTTGTTGTCACTTCACAATAAGTTTTTACAATGTCGACAGGCCTCGGGTCAGACCAACGGGAACGGAGTTGCCGGCGCAGCGAACTGGAGCTGGTGCTGGTAACCCCGTTTGGCGGACGGGCGGGGGCGGGCCTGCTTGTTTTTGTGTATCTGCGTTTGGAGGCGCTAATTAAAGTAACCTTTAAGGACACAAAGTGCCAGCCAAGACACAAATTAACACGAAACTTTGAGGTTATGTTGCCATTTCAGTCGCGGTGGCAAGAAGAAGAAAAGAATAACCGAAACAGGAAACAGTTGGGCGAGGGGTGAAGAGGGACGGAGGGTGGGGGCCGATTAGAAGGCAGTGCTTTTCCGGTTTGTTATTCTTTTCTTCTTCTGATCACCTAACCCCCAAACCCCCTGAAATGGTCTATTCGAACCACAGATCAGATATATCCAAGTAAGAAGGAAATCGTGACAGCTCGAAATCTGCGCTGAGCGCAACCGCAACGCACCAAACCACGTTTGCGCGTACAAAAAGAGGCGAACATTGCACGCGAGCAACAAGATATCAGTCGTCCCAGCGATACTTTGGACCTCGGGTCGGGTAAGTGACAATGGCGGTGGCGGTGCCGTGCAAAGTAACGCTGGGCCGCGGCCGCGCAGCCCCCCTCCCCACGCAGCGTTGAGAACCACAGATCAGCGACTGGCTGTACTACCTACATTGTGTGCAGGTCGCTGCGTTACTATAATAGCTAATTCTTGCTGTGAGTACTCGGACGGCCCCGTATTATTCTGCGAGGCTTCGTTTGTGTCGCCGCTGTTTAGAGACGGATCTCCTCCTTCCGTGGCTCTGTCGGTGGGCGATCCCTATAGTGAACCACTTTTGCCGGGCGCGCCCCGGGCTTTCAGGTTAGGTCGCGTGACGGACGAGATTCGAAACCTCGGGTGGAGATGGTCAACAACTTCAAGGGGCCTGAGACAGCTGCCGTCATGGATGTGGACCAGTTCGAACAGGTAGGGCCGAGCCGAGACCGAGCACTCACACTGCGCACCTGAATGAAATGGTGGCCTCCGCGATCAGGATGAAAATCGCGAGCCTTTCTCCTTGTTATCGCCCCCGCTCTGCCCTCAGCCGCTGCTGCTTCCGCTGCTTCCCGACCTGCCGCTACTGCAGGTCTTCGCCTACCTCAGCCCCCAGGACCTGTTCGCCGTCGGTCGCACCTGCCTGCGCCTGGCCGCGCTTACAAGAGGGGCGTGGCGGAGCACGACGGCCGAGGTTAGGCTCAATACCTACGCAGAACTGGGCGATTTGTTCAGAGTGGCCCCTCCAGTAGAATTGTTAGAATTAGATGTATGCGTATCGAGTGAGCGTCCAGCACACTCTCTCTACGGCCGGTTTACCATAGACCGCAACACTGGAATCGGTAGCAACGAGGAAACGAAGCTGATCCTGTGTGTAGAAAGCTCAGATATGCCCAAGGTCGCGAGCCTCCTCCTGGAGCTGGCCCCGACCGTGAGGCGCCTCGATGTCTGCGCGGAGCTGGACGAGATATTCCGAATCCTGCGGCAACTACCGTGGAGCGCCTTAGAACACCTTGATGTATCAGGGAAGTATGTTGATGGAGACGAACTGGTCGCTCTTGGCGCCCCGCTGTGGCCGCAGGTGAGTGTGCGCGCCGCTAGAGCAGGCCAGTCTCTTATTGGAACCTGATAACACCGTGTCCCTCTCCACAGGATGTGGTGCTGCCCATGCTGCGGATCCTGGGTGTTGAAAGACATAACGAGTACTTTCACTCGACCTGCTCTCCCGAGTACTTGGACGCCCTCCGCTCGCTCCTGCGAGCGCACAGGTATTCCTCGACTCACCTTTCCCACTACTACGCCCTGCCGTGCCAATGTTTGAGCCGCTGGTTTCTTTGCAGTGGGCAATTACGTTCCGTAATGCTGCGATTGGAAGCACTTCTACCGCTCGTCGACGCGTGCCCCAGAGACCTCCACCACTTGCGCGTGGACTTACTTGAAGGGAAGGGCGACGTCGCGGTGCTGCGACGGTTGAGTGGGCTGAAGGAGCTTAGCATCACCATGCTCAGCGGTTATGCAGTTGAAGAGGTCGATGATAAGGTAAACAAGTTCAGATTAATGCACACCGTCTGCTTCCCGTCCCTTTCCCTTTCCTCGCGGCTATTTTTATATGTTATCTCGACCATCGCATTATGGCTATGTCCGGCTATGTCCCTGATGTAACCATATGATGGTTGCTACAGCCTTCTATTTTACTGGGTGCAGGTGGAGAACTTGTTGAGAACGTGGTCCGGCCCCCTCGAGCGTCTCGAGCTGTCTTCTAGGTGTAGTTTCCGCACTGAGACGGCACGTGCCCTGGGAGAGAGCGGGCTCAAGAACAGTCTCCAGTGCCTAGTTCTGGATGACCCCGACTCCCTCTTTATTAATAGTGAGTCGGAGCTTAAGGTGGCGCTCGGAGCTCATCCCCACTTGCGGACCTTGGTCCTGCTGCCGTCTCTTAGTAATGAGCAGGGGCGGCCCTCCGAGAAGCGGGTTGTGCATGAACTGGTGCGCCGCTCCCCCCAAGCGCTGCACGTGGCGTGCGTGCGTGGGCCACGCGTGTGTCAGCGACCCGTGCGTGGGCGACTCACCATGATGGTGTACTTCAGGCACTCCGAGTCAGAGCGTGGCGGGTGCCCGAGGTGCGCCGAGGCTGTTGCATCCGCGCGCCGCTACATAGCGGACAGCAGTAACTGGGACGTAAACTACTATGACAGCGTGTGTATGCTACCGACCTTGGCCGTACAATTTCTTCAAGTTCAAACGTAACCACCTTGATGACATTGATTCCTTCGATTTGAAACCCGACGGCACAGCATAAGGGGTGCAAAGTGCGACTAGAACAGTAGTAATAAAATCAATTATTTTGTGAATTTGGAACGCATTCTTTTTTTTTATTTTACTCGAATGTACACATGTTTACGAGTACGAGGTACGCGAGGTAGTAAGAAACTTGTGCTTTCAACGTGAGCGCCCAGCTGTGCTGTACTGTGCTGTACAGGGTGGGGTGATCCGCGCCGTCTTTATAAGATGCTTATATTGTTCCGGATTCTTCCGTGGGGACGGGTTGCATACTCGCACGGCGCCGTAAGGCGCCCTAGCGAGCATCGGTAGGCAAGCCCGCCCGCACGCGTCAATCCGTTACAGTATAAGCATTAAAAAAAGACGGCGCGGATCACCCCACCCCGTAGTCCTGGCTGTCTCCGTCTCATTGGCTGAGCGATTAGCGAAGCCTATTACTCCAGTGATCAAAAAGTTTCGCGTCTGTCTGTCCGTCTGTCTGTCTGTCTGTCTGTGCGGACGATAACTCGAGAATGCTCGAGAACGAATTGAGCTAGCGACCTGGGATTTTCAGGGTCGTTTTGTATCATAAAAAGACAGATCAAGTTCGAAG